CCCTCCAATGCCACATGTCCTCCAAACCCCATGTTTATTCATTCAACGTCAAACGTTTTTCGCATCCGATAAATAATTTACCATTCTACTTCCCGCATATTCCACTATTCACTCAGAATTCTGCTCAATGACACGGAATATGAGGATCTACACCGGGCAGAGTGCACGAAATACGAAAAATGAAGTCATTTCGTGTTGGCGGCACGCGCCAACCACTTGACTCGCGTGTGCCTCGCGACTATGAGGAAAATGCGATGATCCTCACATGACAAGTGGACGTGAGCCACTAGGTAATGGTGGAACCGGTGAGCCTTCGAGCTGAGAAAAATGTGATGATCGTCATCAGCTGACGTGTCCACCCCACCCCCCCTCGGAGTTATCATCATTCAATTCCGTTTGCACTGTCAGAGATTTTTTGTGTGAATTCCTATCCAATAGAGAACTTGCATGATTTATTTTCAATTTTCTAATCTCAAGTTTGATCATTATCGTTTGTTTACTTATCTCAAAAACGAGTGATCATGGAGGAAAACATCATAAGACTTTTTTGGAGCTAATAAAATTCTCTACAAAAAATGTTTTACAACATTTATTCCTGCAACCACTCATTACCAACATAATTAACGATTCAAAAAATGTAAAAATTCCTGTTATCTCATTACCTCAAATCCTACGATTTTGATCGTTATTATTCGTCTATTTATCTCAAAAACAGTTGATTATAGAAGAAAACATCATAAGACTTTTTTGGAGCTCATAAAATTCCCTACAAAAAATGTTTCACAACGTTTTCCCCTAGAACCACTCATTAACAACATAATTAACGATTCAAAAAATGTAAAAATTCCTGTTATCTCATTACCTCAAATCCTACGATTTTGATCGTTATTATTCGTTTATTTATTTCAAAAACAGTTGATTATAGAAGAAAACATCATAAGACTTTTTTGGAGCTCATAAAATTCCCTACAAAAAATGTTTCACAACGTTTTCCCCTAGAACCACTCATTAACAACATAATTAACGATTCAAAAAATGTAAAAATTCCTGTTATCTCATTACCTCAAATCCTACGATTTTGATCGTTATTATTCGTTTATTTATCTCAAAAACAGTTGATTATAGAAGAAAACATCATTAGACTTTTTGGGAGCTGATAAAATTATCTACAAAAAATATTTTACAACGTTTTCCCCTAGAACCACTCATTACCAACATAATTAACGATTCAAAAAATGTAAAAATTCCTGTTATCTCATTACCTCAAATCCTACGATTTTGATCGTTATTATTCGTCTATTTATCTCAAAAACAGTTGATTATAGAAGAAAACATCATAAGACTTTTTTGGAGCTCATAAAATTCCCTACAAAAAATGTTTCACAACGTTTTCCCCTAGAACCACTCATTACCAACATAATTAACGATTCAAAAAATGTAAAAATTCCTGTTATCTCATTACCTCAAATCCTACGATTTTGATCGTTATTATTCGTCTATTTATCTCAAAAACAGTTGATTATAGAAGAAAACATCATAAGACTTTTTTGGAGCTCATAAAATTCTCTACAAAAAATGTTTCACAACGTTTTCCCCTAGAACCACTCATTAACAACATAATTAACGATTCAAAAAATGTAAAAATTCCTGTTATCTCATTACCTCAAATCCTACGATTTTGATCGTTATTATTCGTTTATTTATTTCAAAAACAGTTGATTATGGAAGAAAACATCATAAGACTTTTTTGGAGCTCATAAAATTCCCTACAAAAACGGTTTTACAACGTTTTCCCCTAGAACCACTCATTAACAAGATAATTAACGATTCAATAAAATGGGAAAAATCCTGTTATCTCATTACCTTAAATCCTACGATTTTTATCATTATTATTTGGTTATTTATCTCAAAAACGAGTGATTATGGAAGAAAACATCATTAGACTTTCTTGTAGCTGATAAAATTCTCTACAAAAAATGTTTTACAACGTTTTCCCCTAGAACCACTCATTAACAACATAATTAACGATTCAAAAAATATAAAAATTCCTGTTATCTCATTACCTCAAATTCTACGAGTTTGATCATTATTATTGTGGGGAAATTTTTCCGGGGTGTCATGAGAGGCCCTTTTCTCGGGACTGGAACAAAGAAGATCTTATGCGGGGGACCACCAGCGCCATAAAATAAACATTCGAAGTATTGGATACTTCGGCGACGCAGGTCAGAATTTCTCGTCTAAACAAATGACNACATTCGAAGTATTGGATACCTCGGCGACGCAGGCCAGGAATTCTCGTCTAAACAAATGACGAATGCAGCGTTGTAAATGACGAATACAGCGTTGACGATGAGGGATACGGCGTTGAAGATCTCCACTGGGAAGTGGAGATCGAGTCAATTTTTGCCCAGCAACGAGGGCGAGAGCACATCGAACTATCTTTTTCGATTATTCCTTGAGATCATTAATTTATGTTTGCATTCCACATTACTATTATTGTCAAGCAGTTTTATAATATACCACGGATTATTTTATAGTGAAAAGGATTATTTTAGTGAACTTATTCTAATACTCCCACACATCTTTCAAATATTTACTACATTATTTGGTTATTTATCTCAAAAACGAGTGATTATGGAAGAAAACATCATTAGACTTTCTTGTAGCTGATAAAATTCTCTACAAAAAATGTTTTACAACGTTTTCCCCTAGAACCACTCATTAACAATATAATTAACGATTCAATAAAATGTAAAAAATCCTGTTATTACCTCAAATCCTACGATTTTGATCGTTATTACTCGTTAATTTATCTCAGAAACAGTCGATTATAGAAGAAAACATCATTAGACTTTTTGGGAGCTGATAAAATTCTCTACAAAAAGTGTTCTACAACATTTTCCCCTACAATCCCTCATTACCAACATAATTAACGATTCAAAAAAATGTAAAAAATCCTGTTATCTTATTACCTCAAATCCTACGATTTTGATCATCATTATTCGTTTATTTGTCTCAAAAACAGTTGATTATAGAAGAAAACATCATTAGACTTTTTGGGAGCTGATAAAATTCTCTACAAAAAGTGTCCTACAAGATTTGTCCCTTGAACCACTCATTAACAACATAATTAACGATTCCAAAAATGTAAAAATTCCTGTTATCTCATTACCTCAAATTTTACGAGTTTGATCATTACTATTTGTTTATTTTTCTCAAAAACGAGTGATCATGGAAGAAAACACCATGAGACTTTTTTGGAGCTGATAAAATTCTCTACAAAAAATCTTTCACAACGTTTTCCCCTAGAGCCACTCATTACCAACATAATTAACGATTCAATAAAATGTCAAAAATCCTGTTATTACCTCAAATCCTATGATTTTGATCGTTATTACTCGTTTATTTATCTCAAAAACAGTCGATTGTAGAAGAAAACATCATTAGACTTTTTGGGAGCTGATAAAATTCTCTACAAAAACTGTCTTACAACATTTTCCCCTACAACCCCTCATTACCAACATAATTAACAATTCAACAAAAAAATCGCCTATTTTCAGTCAAATTAAGAGTATCAAGGGTCAGAATAAGGATTATGGGGGTCATATGGGGGTTGGCGAGCGGAGTCAGTTCCCTAGTTGATTATTAAAATTCGTCGAGACGTCCTGCCAAATCAGAATGAAAAATGATGTATGAATTACTTATTATTAGAACGAAATTCCTGAGAATCCATTCGAATCCATTCGAATCTCTCCGATCTTTACTGCGACTTCTTTTTCGATCGATGTTGACGAGAGCGGAGTTATGCTCGACTTATGTTTTCCGAGTACATCAGCGGAGGATTCGAGCGTTTATATGTTCTAGCGAACGCGATGACTCAGCGCGTGAGGCATGATCTCGATGGAAAATAAAAACGATTGCCATCTTCAATTCTTTCGATGAAAATTTAACTCTTTGTAATAAAACTAGAGGTGTTGGAGACCTTTCACTCGATTGCGAATTGTTTGGGAATACTTGAGATGTTGACATTTTATTCTCAATATCGAAATACGATGGGACGTGAGGAAAAGTGGGAACGCAACGAGAGAATTGAATACATAACAGAAATGAAGTTATTTCCAGTTTTTACGTTTGCTTGGGGAATAGACGCCCTTTATTCTCGAGCTATCAACATTTCAATTCTGGGTCTCATGTTATATTCCGTAATGACAGACAAACTCCAAGGATATTTTCGAATGAAATAAAAACGTCAAATGAGAGAAATTGAAAATTTTTGGTAGACGAAAAAAATTGGGTGTAGACCATCGCCAATAACTCGGAATTGACAGAGTGAAAATTCTCAATTTTTTTTTCATTTTCAAGGTATTTCTGTGGACTTTAAAATGACACCGGACTCATCTAAATCGCATCATTCATTCCCTAGATATAAAAGATTCAACAAAATGCGTTCAATCAAACATTCTCCAAAATCAAATGAAAAAGCATTAAGAGTAACTGCAAATATCTCTGGATCGGCAGAGTCAAAATTCCCGATTTTTTTTCATTGTCGAGATATTTTCATCGTCTCTAAAACGAGACCCGACTCATCCAAATCGCATCATCAATTCCAAAGATATCAAACATTAAACAATTCCATTACTTCCCACCTTAAAAAACAGTAAACTCAAAAAAAATCTAAATCCTTTACCTCAATATTTTCACCCGCAGCCTGCGAATATCTCCACTCACAACCCCTCAAAGTCGATCCCGAGAACCCCCGGAGAGATGCAAAAAATATCCGCGCAATTTTTCCCCCGTAATGCCGAATAAATTCTGCAATTAATTCCGTGAATTCTCGTAATTATTCTTCGCTGCTGTCCACACCGGCAGCACTAATCAGTCCTCCATCGCTCCCCCTGCGTGCGACGGTGCGCGAATGTCCCTTCGGCCAATCGGAGCCCTCGAAACTGTATCGAAGTTGGCAGCATTTGCCGGGAGATGCCCCCCGATCGTTCAGGATACGAAAATTCTCGCGGGACGCCAGCCACATCGTCTCGAGCCCTTGGGATCGCCGGTCGAACCCTCGTGCCATCATCATTTTCCGCACCCCTTGGACCGCACAATCGCCCATTTTACCTTCGAAATTACCCCTCGAGGGTCTCGATCACCAGTGACATTCCGGGGAACTTCAACAGGACCGGCTCATCCTGAGGAGAATTTTTGTGCGCATTTTTTTTACGACGAGACGTAAGTTTACCAAGTTCCATCGTCATTCCATTGTTCTTGGGGGGCTTCAGTGCCGGCACGTGGTGTATTCCCCCGACTCTCTACGGTTTTTGGCATCTCAGAGGTGAAAAAGTGGTTTATCTCGCGTTGAAATTCAGAAGAGGTCGATAATGCTCGATTATTGGTAGTTTTCGGGATTTTTTGGTGGGTTTTTTCGACGATTGGGGACGTGTGATGGGCGGAAAGTCTAGAGTCTTTTGTTCTTCGTGAAAATTGGCACTTTGAGATCAGTAATAATGGATGTGCTTCAATTATTATCGGGTGTCAGGACTTTTTCGGGGGTTTTTTGCGAGTTTTTTGGCGGGGCGAGTGGACAAATTCGGATTCTTTTGTTTTCTGGGGAGAAATTAATGTTTCATGTCCGGTGATGATTGATTTTTCGGGGGTTTTTCGAGATTTTCGACCTGCGACAAGTGAAAAAATTGATATGCTTTGGTTATTTTTTTCGATAAAAATTAGCACTCAAAGGTGCAGTCTCAATTATTGCTTGTTTTTGCGATTTTTTCATCGCTTTTTTTGCATTTTTGCCGTGACAAATGGAACAAATACAAATTTATTTTTTTTCCGTGAAAATCAGGGCTTAAAGTTCATTAATAGTTGATTAATCTCAATCTTTAGCGATTTTTGCGACTTGTTTTCGAGATTTTCAATTTGACGAATGAAAAATCCAGATTTATGCTTTTTCCATGACAATTAAGACTTAATTAGTCTCGGTCATTATTGATTTTTGCGTTTTTTTCAAAAATGTTCGACTTGACCAGTGAAAAAAATTCGGATTCTTAATCCTCCATAGAAATCAGGACTAAAGTTCATTAATAATTGATAAGATTCAATTTCCATTGATTTTTATGATTTTTTAATCGTTTTTTTTCTCGAAATTTTCAACTTATCGAGTGAAAAATCTCGAATTATCAATTGTTCATAAAAGTGAACACGTAAAATTAATTAATAATTAATATTTTTCAATGTTTTTTTTTCAAAAATTGTTGACGCAGCAAGTGAAAAAATCCAGAATTATTAATTTTCCACGAAAATTAATATTTGAAATTCATTAATAATTAATGAGTCTCGATTTTTTTAATTTTTTCGATGTGAAACTACCCCGGCCATATTAAAATTGTCAAACAATTGATGTCGTTTAAACCTCTGACGATTGAGCCATCATTTTTTTTCCGTTGTATTTGTTTTTTCGTTCCTTTGTCCTGAATCATTGAACGCCCTGAGTGTGGTCTAGTTTTGTTTACATTGGGGTGTGTGAAGTGCCGCATTTCATGGGCTTCCCCCAACCCCCTCCCCCTCCTGCCCCCCTTTCCGAAGATTTTTCTCAGTAAACTCTTTGTTCTGTGGCATGTGCCAGTGCTGCTTTCCCCCGGTGGAATATTTTCATTTTGTCATTTGGTGTTTTTCGTTGTGCTCAAGGTTAATTTGAAGACATGGCTGACGAATGGGAGGACGAGCCGGCTTTTGATCCACCAAAGAGTGCATCTTCGGTAATTATAACGATTATTCAACGTTTTCTGATCATTTTTTTCGGACAATTACTTCAAGAATTTTTTTTACAATTTTGGGAAGACTGGAATTTATGATATTATTAGAGCGACACGATTTGATAAAATTAAACGTGATTTAATTACGAGGAAACAAAAATAAAAATGATCATGAGTAATAAAATAACGCCTTTTTGAAATCAATCACTGAAAAATGATTATCAAAGTATAAACATGACTTGAATTTTAGAGATTAAAATGTGAAATAAATTCTGAACGAAATCAATGTGAATAGAAACATTCCGGTAATAAAAATTTCGAACGCCCTGGAATTTACTCAATGATAGAATTATAGAAATATAGAGGACGAAATTTAATGGCGAGAAAAAAAAATTGGAATGATCACTAGTAATAAAATAAATACTTTTTAATATAAATCAGTGCCAAGTTGTCAAAAAATAATTACTGAAGTAGTATAAATTAACTTGAATTTTGAGGATTAAAATGTGAAATAAATTCTGAACGAGATTAATACGAATAGAAACATTCCGGTAATGTTTTGGACAGACGTGAATTTATTAAGGATATCCAAGTACTTTGGCTATTTTTCAAAACCTCTCAATAATTCGCCATTCTACTGAACGGAAAATTATTTTTTTCATCAGTTCTTCCAAGAATAAAAGAAGTTAATAAACAAAAATTCATAAAACAAAAATATTTAATTAAAAAAAAATTCTTTGCTTGAATTGCGTCAAATAGTCGTTTTTCGATGGGTTCATTTTGCCGCAGTCTCCCCTATTTAAAAACAACGAACCTTAAAAAAAAAATTTCCTGCATAAAGTAATTCGATTAATCCCGAACACTTACGATTTTTCAAATTTTTCTCACGCAATTTTATTTAAGGATGTTTAGCCATTTTCAGAAATTTTTCTTTCATGTTCAAACACATATGAGGCTGACTTCTTTGATATAAAAAAAAATAATCGCAATAGTCTCGCCAGAAATAAATAAACAAATTTTTCCTCATACCCCGGGTCTTATGGAATTTATGTTGAAATTTATAATTCACCTACTAGAAGCCTAAAAATAAAAATAGAAGGCAATATGCAAAACTATACCGAATCGAATGGTCAGCAAAAATGTCTGATTGGCTGAAATCCGAGTGAGAAAAATAATCAAGATAAATGGAAAAGCTTCACCTCTCAGTTGAAAAAAAACTCAATTCAGTAGCGAAGTGGTAAAGCGGTTTAAGTCGACTTATCTCCCCGCTGAGTTTTTGAGGAATATTTTGGAATCTAAGGAAGATAGCGAAATTTCCGTAATAACATTTATTGTAGCTCTCAGTCGGCTCTACAAAAAAAAAATTACAAATTTTTCTTTTAGATTCAAACACATATGAGGCTAACTTCTTTGATATTAAAAAAAAAATAATCGCAATAGTCTCGCCAGAAATAAATAAACAAATTTTTCCTCATACCTCAGGTTTTATGGGATTTATGTTGAAAGTTATAATTCACCTACTAGAAGCCTAAAAATAAAAATAGAAGGCAATATGCAAAACTATACCGAATCGAATGGTCAGCAAAAATGTCTGATTGGCTGAAATCCGAGTGAGAAAAATAATCAAGATAAATGGAAAAGCTTCACCTCTCAGTTGAAAAAAAACTCAATTCAGTAGCGAAGTGGTAAAGCGGTTTAAGTCGACTTATCTCCCCGCTGAGTTTTTGAGGAATATTTTGGAATCTAAGGAAGATAGCGAAATTTCCGTCATAACATTTATTGTAGCTCTCAGTCGGCTCTACAAAAAAGGTAACAACAAAAATTTTGCTATCTCCCTTAGCTTCCGAGATATTCATTGAAAACTGATCAATCGTCAAACTTGACTTATACCGTTTTGCCACTTTGCCCCTGATTTTTCCCGAATCCCCGCGATTTCGGACAAACATGCTCAAAATTTCAGTTCGCGGAAGGAAAGACCTACAGTCGAGGCCGGGGTTACTCGGCCCCAGCGGAGTCGAACGACGACGACTGGGGTTCAGGCCAGCAGAACCAGTCCTCTGGTTTCGGCACCAGTGAAGACAGTTACGACAACGACATCCGTGGGGACTCAGACCGTCGGGGTCGGGGAGGAAGAGGTCGAGGTCGCGGCCGCGGTCGTGGCCGTGGTGGTCGCGACGGTGACGGTGACGGCGGACGTCGTCGTTACGACAACGACGAGAACGGCTTCGACAACGATCGCGACGAAGGCAGACACAACCGCCACAATGACGACGACACGAGACGTCGCAAGCGAAAGGAGGACGGCGACGAGAACGGCGACAAGACCGAGGACGGTGAGGAGAAGAAGCTCCCAGTGACGTACATTCCCCCCGAGCGTTCCGAGGACGACATGTTCACACCCCAGAACACAGCGGGCATAAACTTCGACAACTACAACAGCATCGAGGTGAAGATATCAGGGGAGAATTCAGTGCCACCAGTCCGTAGCTTCGAGGAGCTCAAGCTGAGAACAATTCTGATGGAGAATATCAAGAAGTCTGGGTACACGAAGGCGACCCCAGTGCAGAAGCACGCAATCCCGAATATTCTGAACGGTCGAGACCTGATGGCCTGCGCCCAGACTGGATCAGGAAAGACAGCAGCCTTCCTGATCCCAATAATTCAGAAGCTCCTGGCGGACCCCAAGGAGAGAATTCTCACTGGACGTGGCTGCCAGCCCCAGGTGGTGATTCTGTCGCCAACTCGAGAGCTCACTGACCAGATCTACGGAGAGGCTCTGAAATTCTCCAAGGACACTGTCGTCAAGTGTGCAGCTGTGTACGGTGGGGTGAAGACCACTCACCAGGGGGATCGTCTTAGAAATGGGGTGGACATTGTGGTGGCAACCCCAGGGAGGCTCAAGGACTTCGTAAATCATGGGAGGATCAACTTCTTGTCGGTTCGGTTTGTCGTGCTGGATGAGGCTGACAGGATGCTGGACCAGGGCTTCCTGCCTGATATGGAGAGCATTCTGAATCACTCGACGATGGTGCCCAGTGGGGAGAGGCAGACACTCATGTTCTCTGCCACCTTCAGTCCTGAGGTGCAGGTCCTCTGTGCCAAGTATTTGAGTGAGTACTTGTTCCTCACTGTTGGGATCATTGGAGCTGCCAGCAAGGACGTTGAACAGATTATTTACGAGGTTGAGAAGAGGCACAAGAAGCCAAAGCTCAAGGAGATTCTCGACGAGCACAAGGATCTGCTGAATGCTGGGGCTGATAGTTCGGTGAAAATACTCATCTTCGTGGAGACGAAGAGGAATGCTGATTACATCGCTGCTTATCTCTGTGAGTGCGACTTTCCAACCACCAGCATTCATGGGGACAGACTCCAGATGGAGAGGGAACTGGCGCTCTCCGATTTTCGAAGTGGAAGGAAGCCCATTCTGGTGGCAACTTCCCTTGCTGCCAGGGGATTGGACATCAGGAATGTCACTCATGTCATTAATTATGATCTGCCAAAGGCCTCGGAGGAGTATGTCCACAGGATTGGACGCACTGGACGTGTCGGGAACAAGGGGAAGGCCTCCAGCTTCTATGATCCAATGCAGGATGCGGCTATGAGGCATGAACTTGTCCAGATTCTTACTAATGCTGATCAGCCTGTTCCTGACTTCTTGAGAGGGGGAGGGGGACAGTTTGGGGATGCTAGGGCTGGCAATGCCTTTGGAGGATATGACATTCGTAATGTAAGTGGCTTGGGTCGAATTCGGTTTTTGAAATGGGGATTTTTAAGTTTGCTGGTGGTTTTCTGGCTTCGATGGTTTGGTAAATATTTATTAAAGTGGAGAAAGGTTGATAATGATTTTGTTTATGAGTTTTTTAATATCAAGATCTTTAGATTTAATGAAATTAGCCATTCTTTTGAAAAATTGAAGGTTTTTATGGAAAAATAATTAATTGTGAGAGGAATGAGCCCATTTTTTTTTGTAAATTATTTTTTCAGTCGAGTCTTGGAATCGAGATAAAATGGCGATTTTTTATGAGGATTCTTTTAGGGAACATAAGAGCTATAGAAAAGATTTTTATGGAAATTTTGCTATATTTATTATTCATAGATATTTATAACAAAAAAGAAACTCAAAATTGTTAAAGGAAAGCATTTTTTTTTTAGTTTGTGGTGACTGCTTTACAATTGAAAATGGATATCAATTTTTTTATAAGAATTTTTTTATATCTTTTATTTTTCACTGAAAAAAATTTGCAGTAGAAAATAAAAACCATAAAAAAATCCTTATAAATGAATTGATATCCATTTTAAATTCTGAAATATTCACTGTAAACTAGAAAAAAATGTTCTTGCCATTCAAAATTTAGATTTTTTTTTCTCTATTTTATCTAATCTTCTATTTCTCATTTTTATAAAAAAAAATCTAATTTCTTTGTTTAAAATATTTTCATAAAAAACTTTAAACTGTGAATAAAAATAATGAATTTTTAATAATTATCTTGGTATCTAAACAGGACAGGAAATTTCTCAAAGAAAATTTTTTAATTTAAAAATTTTTCAACTCCATCAAATTGTATTAAAAATTTGAATAATCTGAATTAACGACAGATTCACCCGTGAATTTTTCCTCGAACACCTTTTTTTCATTGTTTCAGAATGCCGGAGGAGGGGGTGGGGGTGCTAACGAGCCAGAAGAGGAGTGGTAAACCCGTTCATCACCATTCTCCCACAATCTTTATTCTTAATTATCATTTAAACCATTTAAGCAATAACATATTTAATTTCTTCCACAAGAGTTTTTTTCATTTACTATTTGAAGTTTAAAAAATGAAGATTTTATCGTGTAAAATCTTTCTCGGTTGACCGAACGCTGTAGTTCACGTACTAATAATGTATTACCCACGTCGACGATAATAGTTTATTATAATCAATAAAAAATGATAAAAATACAATTTTCGTAGTCTGAGGTGAAAGGGTTTAAATCAAAACAAAGTCCAAAAAAAAATTAATGGCAAAACTTTTTCATTTTATCAACAATTCAGCGATTTAAAATTTTTTTTTCAGAAACTAAAAATAAATTGAATAATTTTTTAAGGAAAAAAATGTTTCATCAACAATTGAATGATTTTAAAAATGTCAAAAGAGTTCGTTCTGCCCCACTTTCTCCTGCAGACTCGGAATTAATATAAAATAATCTTCAAGATCTTGTACTCACTCTCATTGACTCCCATATCCATCAATGCAAAGTCCTCTTCAGTGAGTAGAGAAGAGAAGAGAGTCTCGGAGGATTGATTCATGGAGTCTGTCGTTGGTGTTTGGTAATACATCATGTCACTGGGTTCAGATTTGTATGCCCCAGTGTTCTCAGGTCCCATGGGTTCACTGCTGTTGGTGAGATTCATCGATGTGGCAACTGCTGATCCAAAATTCGATGGACCACCTGAATGTTCGAGGAATTTAGTTGTCAAAGAATATAGGGAAAATTGTTTTGAGAAATCATTGGACTCGTTTTTCCTTACCAACATGGTGGTATGGGCCAGTGGAGTTGAGATCGCCCACTGGGGGGGCCAGGGTGGCGTTGTGCAGCAGTACATTACGCTGGGCGTCGTAATGACTGTGATGACTTATACCGTGACCTGGGTAGGGATGGGCTGGGTGGGTGAAGTGGTCTGGGGTCGTCAGGAACGTCGACAGGTCTGGCCATCTCTGGTCCATGCTCATGGTGCGCATAAATGGTGGCACACGACCCTGTGAACAATAAAAAAAGAGATTAAGTAAATTTATTTGGTCAGAGATTTGTGGTTGGATGCGGTTTTTGTGAGAATTGTTAGAGATACGAAAAAACGTCACGAGACAAATTTGTTCTTCATGAAGAGACGAACATTTTGTGTCCGAACATTTTTGTCGTATCTCCAACGACAGATGACATAGGCACGGGTAAACAACTTTAACGAGATAATGATCAATTAATTCGTTAGAGGAACATTTTTTTTATTCAATTTCAGCGAGAACTGTTGGAGATACGAAAAAATGTCAGAGAACAAACTTGTACTTCTCAAAAAGACGAAGATTTTGTTTCCGAACATTTTTGGCGTATCTCCAACACTTGACCCCAGAAATTACAAAATGAAAAATATTTTTTTGCTTTCATTGATTTCCTTCACTCATTACTTTGTTATTAATGCCTTCAAATCAAAAGTATGAGAGACAAATAGAATTTTTTGTTTAAATGAAATATCTTCTGGCGAAGGTAATTCAAGAGATTTCACTCGAATTAAACAAAATAAAACGATAATACATTTTTACATAACTAACGAGCCTCGAACATTCACCCGTTATGTTTGAACCATTGTGTCTGTCAGGTGTCAACTAGACGGACGTGAGACCCCCCGCTGCATGTGTGTGGGTGCAACTCAGTTTGAAAAAAAGGTATCCACAGAAGAGAAGGGGCCCCAATATTATTAATAGTCTTTGAGAATCTACGTGTTGGGATTTGAATCATTAATCATCCTTAGACGAGAGATTTCCTATCATATTATCGTGAATACATACTTGAGGTAATCCAAGTGCTACAGGTTCATGACGATCACACTGTAGATCTGGAGATTTTCAATTACCAAATTTTTTTCACGTAATTCAATTCAAAAATTAAAAAAAAATCGCACGTCATCAGCATTACCGAAATTACATTTTACAGCGCGTAAGATTATTTCCATTTTTTTTTCTTATAAATAATTAAGAGAAACGGCTGCCATGAAGGATGTGTGGGGTATTCCAGATGTGAACAAATTTACGATTTTTAATTAATAAAAATTATTTTCGCGATGGAAAATTGATTGTTTATAAATTCGTTGGGGTATTCAGTGACTTTATAAATCGTATCAATCGGTAATAATTCGTATTACACAATTTTTTAATATAATATGACTTTGTGAAATTAATATATCATGAATCATTCACAAAAAATCGACTTTCTAATTTTTTTCAGATGAGAAGAAAGTCTCCTAACGCTTAAAAATAGGAAATCTAGTTGGGACGAGGAAGCGTTTAAATAATGAAATGATTAATATTGTTTTAATTGGATAGATTGATGTAATTGAAGGTAATAATGGGATTATGAAATTTTTTTCTAACGTTGAAAAATGGAAAATTAAAATTTCGGACATGGAAAAATCGAAATTTTGGGGACAGTTGATCAGTAATTTTCAGAAAAGGAACATTTCATTTGATTTTGAGGGGAGAAGATGATTAAATTCTGGAATTCACTGGAAGTTCGAGAATAAATTCACTAAATTTTCCTGATTTCAATTAATTTTCATTCAATAATTGAACTAAAATTTGCATTTTCCCTTGATTTTTCTGCAGAATTTTGCATTTTCAATGACGAAATTCCTTGAAATGTCAGTGAAGCTTCAGTTACTGAGGACTGCCAAAAAAAATTGAAATTGAATTTCATTAAATTTGAAACATCAATGAAATTCTAAATGTTTAAGCAGTAAGACGACCAGAATTTCCCGACTTCCTTGAAATTTCATTTCAAACCTGAATATTCAGTTTCAATCTACGCGGAATTTCCAATTATTTGCAAATTCAAGAATATGTTTACCAGAATTTTTCTGATTTCCATTAATCTTCATGGAATAATTGATCTGAAATTTAAAGTTTCCTATCATTTCTCCATAAAGTAATGAAATTTCAATGACAAAATTCTTCAAAATTTCAATGAAACTTTACTTAATGAAGAAGTGGCAAATCCTGTCGAAAAAATTGAAATTTCAATGACATTCCAATTTTTGAAATTGCACTAAGACGAGGATTTCCTTAATTCCTTGTATTTCCCATAAAAACTTGAATATTGAATATCCAATGACACAAAATTCACCCGAATTTTCCTGACTTCATAAATTTTCATAGAATAATTGAGCTCAAATTGACAGTTTCCCTCGATTTGTCCATTCGATTTTGGATTTTGAGAGACGAAATTCCGTGAAATTTGATTGGAAATGTCATCGAAATTTTTTATCCAATCTCTCGATTGAGTGTAAGTGCGGTAGGCTGTATGTAATGTTCTTGGCAGTGACTCTAATGCACCACGGTATATGAAGCAAGAAGAAGATGAATAGGTAAAGGCTGCCGAGTTGCGGATTGTTGTTGGGTGCATCAATCAGTGGAGATGCGCGCAATCTGCGGTGCGCGACGCCTTTACGACAAGAGAATTCTCGCTTGTCAGCGCATCTGCTGTGTATCCAGGGGAAAATGTAGGCCGAGATGTCTTACAATCATCGTTTTATCCATTATTTTTTACAACTTCTCTTCATCGTGCTGTCACTAATGTTCAAGATCCTGAGTAATATGTAAGAGTTTCCGGAAGGCCGGGGGGGAAACCCAACGAGGCCATCGGGTAATTCGCAATTTTTCACATTAATCTTCCTCGAGACGAAGATTATTTCATTGAATTCGTTAATTCGTTGGTGGCACATTTTTTTAGAGATTTGACTGGCATTAATTTGACGACATTAATGGGGAGGACGGGAAATTGTCCCAGAAACTTGATTTATGCGTGAGGTAAAGGATGATAATGCGAGGAGATGAGAAAATGTTGGTCGGGAAAAATGAAATTTAATTAGAAAACCTATCGAATTCAATAGAAAATTCTATTTAATTCTTATTGAACTTTCCATTCATTTTTGCCGGATTCCATTAAAAAATTCCCCAGCTTCCCGTTTTTTGAAAATTGTATTACAAAATATAATAAGTATTCTTTAGAAGAATCAATAGAATTTAATTTTGATATTCAACTTATTTTATTGAGATATTTTCTACAGAAATTCCTCTGAAAAAGTTTACCAATTTTTTCGTTTAATTTTTTCAACGAAAAAAAGAGACTTGAATGAAGAAAAGAAGAAAGATGTGGAAAATTTGTCATTAAAAAAAAAGTATTATATACAAAAATTTTTATTGAATTTTCTTTTAGTTTTTGGCCGATTCCATCAAAAAATTCTGCAGCTTTGCCTTTTTTTTAACAGAAAATATGTTAAGAAAAATCGCTATAATTTGATGGTCCACACAATTTATTCTACTGAGATATTTTCAACAGAAATAACTCTGTTCAATATTTCCAAATTTTTTGTTTAATTCTTTCAATAAAAATAGAATAATTTTTTGGCCGATTCTATTAAAAAAATCTGTAGCTTAGCGTTTTTTTTCAACAGAAATATTCAGCAGAAAATATTCTTTTGAAGAATCAATACAATTTAATTTTTCTACACAACTTATTCTATTGAGATTTTTTCTATAGTAATTCCCCTGAAAAAATTATTATTATAAATTTATTTGTTTGATTCTCCTCAATGACAAAAGAACAAAAATTGAGTGAAAAAATTTACCAAATTGATGTAGTAGAATTAATATAGAAAAAGTTGTACAGAAAGATAAAACTCGACTGATTTTTCCATAAAATAGCTTCTACTGAAAATTTTCTACTGAAAAAAGCAAAAACACTAGAAATCTTCAATAAAATCAGGCAAAAGCCAATGGAAGTCCAATAATAATGGAATAGATTTTTTCGCACAAATGGGAATGAGGGGAAATTGTGCCAGAAATGTGATTTATGCACGAGTGTAAACCCGGAGAGGATGGTAATGCGAGCGCAAGAGTGGGAGCAATCTTAGGCTCGTGAAACCGAGGAAGGAAGGAAGATATCGGACGCAAGGTGCCAGATGGCTGAGGAGAACTGTCGAGGACCTTCTAGGCCACTCGAAGCGCCATTTCCTCCTTCTGGAGTCGACGCTGGCAGGTAGGGTGGTCCTAAAGACGGGAAAACGGGAATTAAATGATGGAGGATGACCGTTAGATGAGAGGGTTCTCCTTGGAGATGATTCATTTGTGAAGTGGTGGTTTTTCCTGGGACTGGAGGGGGTACACTGAGAGAAAAAAAAATATTTCTTCCCAAACAAGTCGAGTTTGAAAGCAAAAAATTTTCTTATTGTTAAATTTGATCATTTTTGACTGATAATTCCAGTAGACTTCTTTATCAGTTTTTTAATGGTTTCTTTTTTTATTTTTTTATTAAATTTCCATCATTTTTTATGATTTTTTTAATTTTCTGAGAATTTCGTCATTGAAAGTTGAAAATTTTATGGAAACTGTAAAGTCCGGTTCAATTAGCTCAAATCAGAAAAAAATCAAATAAATGTATTCTTAAATCTTAAATTAACAGAAAATTTAGCGAAACTAGGTACTAAATTTCTGTTTTGATTGAAAAATAATTTCAGAACATTTTTTTCTGAAATTGAATAAAATGTTTTTTATTCCAAAGCAAAGGCATATTAAATCCGTGAGTTTTTTTCTATAATTAATTTTATCTAAAAGTGTATTTGTCCGGATAAATTTTCTCAACTACAACAATTCTCTCTCGACAATTTTTCCTCTAAAAACTATTGTTCAATTCCAACATTAAATATTTTTCCAATAATTTCTAATAATATGAAACCATGAAATACTTCATCCTTTATCAGTTTTTTAATGTTAAAAAAAAATTAAATTTCGATTAGTTTTCATGAATTTGTTAAGATTTTCTTAATTTTTTTTTCAATTCTGAAATTCTAAAGAATTTTGTCATTGAAAATCAGGAAAATTCAACGGAATTTGATATTAAAAATTCATATGTTGATTAAAATCAATTTGACAATAATATTTTTGTTCTCAAATTTTCATAAAAAGTTTTTTATTCCAAAGGAAATTCATGT